CTGAACCGTGGGGTTCTCAAGCTGCGAATAAGTCTCAAACTGAAACATGGGGTTCTCAAGCTGCGAATAAGTCTCAAACTGAACCATGGGGTGCTCAAGCTGCGAATAAATCTCAAACTGAACCATGGGGTGCTCAAGCCGTGGACAAATCTCAAATTGGACCATGGGGTGCTCAAGCTGCAAATAAATCTCAAACTGAACCATGGGGTGCTCAAGCTGCAGACAAGTCTCAAACTGCTCCATGGTCTGCTCAAGCTGCGGACAAGTCTAAACCTGATTCATGGCAAGCTGCAGACAAGTCTAAAACTGATCAATGGGGTACTCAAGCTGAAGACAAGTCTAAAACTGAACCATGGGGTACGCAAGTTGCGGACAAATCTAAAAATGATTCATGGCAAGCTGCAGATAAGCCTCAAACTGCTCCATGGGGTGCCCAAAATGCAGATAAATCACAAACTGAACCATGGGGTGCTCAAGCTGCGGACAAATCTCAAACTGCTCCATGGGGTGCTCAAGCTGCTGACAAGTCACAAACTGAACCATGGGGTGCTCAAGCTGCTGGCAAGTCACAAACTGAACCATGGGGTGCTCAAACTGCAAACAAGCCACAAACTGATCAGTGGGGTGCTCAAGCTGTAAACAAGTCTCAAACTGAACGCTGGGGTGCTCAAGACGCTGACCTGATCGAAGAATCACGTGGAAGAAGAAATGAACCTAGAGAGACTAATAATTGGGCTAACCCTAATAATTCAAAACAATCTGATACTTTTGGATCAAATGACAACACATCGAGTCTGGAGAGTAAAGCTTGGTGGTGATAACTTGAAAAATGAATATTTTTTTCCTGAGGTTAATTGCATGTTTTCAAAATTACTGTGTCAACCAATAAAATAGTCGTTTTATGATTTAAACATTATTTGTAATTTAAAATCGAAAAAAAAAAGTTTAGCAAAATTGTTAAGTACTGTTCAACCTCCCAAAACCGGTAGACAGGTTTTGTATATCATGTTTAAAAGGATCTAGTGATTTGATTAATGTGATATTTCTCTTTTTGTATGATCAATTGAAATAACAATTAAAATGCTAAAACTAGCATTTTCAAAAGTTTTTTATCGCAATATACAGTTACGAATATACTACATATTTTTCATATGTAATATTATCATATTTTTATTACTTCATTTTTATTATTTTATTCATAAAGACGAAAGGAAAGCA